GGGACTCCAGGATCATGACCTGAGCCGAAGGCAGTCGCTTAACCAACTGAGCCACCCAGGCGCCCTGTACATATTATCTTTATAGGTGCATCTTGGAGGTCTATGTCAGTACACATAGATCTGCCATTACCCTTTTGAACTGTAGTATAGTATTCCACCTTACAGATGCTCCCCAGTTTATTTAAACTACCTCCTCCAGACATAAAATAGGTTTATGTCAATCTGGATTGCAAGCATTGGCTAACAGAACAGAAACTGGATTTGTTGGAAGGATACTGGGTTGAAGAGGTGGCAGGAAGGAAGGGGGCTGAGGAGCCAAAAACCCAGCCAAGGTCACACCGTTCAGTGCCACTTGCCCCAGCACAGCCACCCCTCCACTGATTTCCCATATCTTTGGGTCTCTGCATCACTCCATGGAGAGGAAGAGTCAAGGGTGAGAACATCTGATTGGCTGGACCACGGTCACCTGCCTCCCCTCTTCTGCCTGGAGGAGAGCCCTATCCCCCACCAAAGTTCTCCCAGTGGGGAATTACCCACAAAGGGTGAAAAAATTAAAGGACAAATGTGTGCTACAAATCATTCCCAATCTCTTGCTTCCTGGGACACCTGTTTATTGTGGGCTGGGGAAAAGCTTAACCATTCTCCTTCAGACACACCAAGGACTAACACCTACATTATTCGATATGCCAAAAAAAAAAAACTACCCTCAGCTTTCCTGTGGAATCCCCTTCAAGACCGGCCACAGGGTGAGTGGAGGAGGGAACTCAGTGAGGTGGAGAGAAAAGGAACCCATTCTGTGCAGCTAAAAACGACCCAGGTCAGGGCCGGAACCCCTGCAGGAGAACTATGGAGGTCATTTTCCCCAGCCAGGATAACAAGCTGCGGAACAGTCAGGTCACGGGCAAAAGGCTGGCGGAGAGAAACACTGGAGGCACACTCAGTCACGGAGCATTTGTAATTGGGATTCACCATCTGTCAGACACTGAGCTCAGCGTTGAGCACTGAGCCGTGAATCCTACCTCCGAGAGCTCAGACTGGTGCTGGGGGGCAAGGGCACCAGGTTGCCTGGGCCTCAAGAGAGGCAAGGAACACACTTTCTGAAAGCCTGAAAGTACGGCAAGCAGCCAGGCCTGGCACAGGGGCTGGAGCTGAAGGAGGCCTGGGGGTTCCTGAGTCTTGCAGGGTGAGTTGAAAGTCCTGAACACTGGCCAAATCATTTTGAATTGGAATCTGTCTGGCCCTCTAATCAAAAACACCCAGAGGGCGCCTGGGTGGCTCAGTTGGTTAAGCGACTGCCTTCGGCTCAGGTCATGATCCTGGAGTCCCAGGATCGAGTCCCACATCGGGCTCCCTGC